TTTCAAACACATGTGAGCATTACCTAGGGTGGGCTAAATGCAAATACAGTCTGCCAAGCAATGCCCACTCCTCCACATGGATATGCACTTATCAAGGCATTTTTATATTTGCATAATTCCTCCCAAGAGCTGGCCCACTGCTTGCATTAGGGCTCAGGGTGTTTAAGAGAAATACTGAGACAGGGTGCTGTAATGTTTTCAAGGTGCTATACAAAGAACCCTACTGGCCCCTCGTACCAGCCATGTCCTGCCTAAATAGCAAAGAAAAGCACAGAGACTTAGTGATGACATCATTGTATGCAATACAAATGAAAAGCTTTTTTAACCCCTTGCCTACCAGGCACTTATACCCCCCCCCCTTCCTTACCAGGCCAATTTTCAGCTTTCAGCGCTGCCGCACTTTGATTGACAATTGCGCCGTCATGCAACATTGTACCCATATGAAATTTTGATCATTTTTTTCTCACAAATACAGCTTTCTTTTGGTGGTATTTAATCGCCACTGGGCGCTTTACTTTTTGCGCTATAAATTAAAAAAAGTGCAAAAAATTTGAAAAAAAAAAAAAAGTTTATTTGTTTCTTTTATAAAATTTTTCAAACAGGTATTTTTTCTTCTTCACTGATTTGCGTTGATGAGGCGGCACTGATGGGCACTGATAGGCGGCACTGATGGGCACTGATAGGCAGCACTAAAGGGCACTGATAGGCAGTACTAATGAGGGTGGCACGGATAGGCGGCACTGATAGACAGCACTAATTAGGGGTCACGGATAGGCGGCACTGATATGCAGCACTGATAGGCGGCACTGATAGGTGACACTGATTATGGGTACTGATAGACGGCACTGACTGGCATCACTTCTGGGCACTGACTGGCGGCACTGACTGGCACAACCCCTGGGCACTGACTGGTGGCACTGACTGGCAGCACTGCTGGGCTGCACTGGTGGGCGGCACTGGTGGGCGGCACTGGTGGGTGGGCACAGGTGGGTGGCACTGGTGGGCACAGGTGGGTGGCACTGGTGGGCACAGGTGGGTGGGCACAGGTGGGTGGCACTGCTGGCACATGTAGGTGGCACTTCTGGGCACAGGTAGGTGGCACTGCAGAGTGGCACAGGTGGGGGCACAGGTGGGGGCACTGCTGGGCACAGGTGGGGGCACTGCTGGGCATGGGTGGGCGGGGCTAGTGGGCGCACTGCTGGGAGGAACTTGCGGGGGTCACTGCTGGGCACCGATCATCAGGGCCGATCCCCGCTCTGACAACTGCCGGTTCTCGGCAGTACTTTCCTCACGATCTGACAGCGTGAGGAAAGTGCAGCCGAGAACCGGCACTTGCATTTTCCTGTGATCAGCGTGTCATTGGACACCGCTGATCACGTGGTAAAAGGCCGGTGGGATCGGCCTTTCACCACATCTCGTGATCAGCTGTGTCCGTAGGACACAGCGATCACAGAGATCGCCGGGTGCGCGCCCCCTGGGGCGCGCAGGAGAGCGCGTTCTGGGAGGACGTCATATGACGTCCACCCAGAACTAGCCGGCCGCGGTGCAGCCGTCATTCGGCTATGCGCGGTCGGCAAGTGGTTAATACATTTTATTAGCATGTTGATGAAGGAAAGAAAGGTGGGGAGGCAAAATAACAATATTTTTTGTTTGAAAATCTCTGGGCTTTCTGGTAGTCAGGATATAGCTCTCATGACTCTTGTTCGGCCATTCTTAGTCTTGAAAGTAGCACAGTCCTATCTCTGCCTGTCTATCTGGGTTATAAAGCATAATAGCAAATAAATGAGAACCATAACTCCTAGATTGTAAGCTCCAAGGAGCAGGGCCCTCGAATCCCTCTTGTATTGAATTGTATTGTTACTGTACTGTCTCCCACCATAATGTAAAGCGCTGAGCAAACTGTCGGCGCTATATAAATCCTGTGTAATAATAATAATAATAACTGTATGAGTTCTTTCTTTTTTTGGAGGAGCCCAAACAATGCAAAACAAAGGGAATGCCATTAGTCTCTTTGTAAAAGAAACAAAGCCCTTCTTTCACAACCACCACCTGATCTTTGATGTCCTAGAAGTGGGCTCAAGCTCCTTCCAAATAAGGCCCTCTCGGGCGTTTGGAGATGTGCATGTGGTTCCAGATCAAGTCCTCCTCCCACTGTGTCCAAAACTCTAAGTCCATAATGTCCTGGGGGACATAGGGATAGTCCAGGCCCCATTCTACTGCTACTTTCCTTTGCAGCCGGGAGAAGCAGGGCAGGTTTCTCTTGTCCCCAGTCCAGGCTGTACACAGGACTGTGATGACCCACTCCTGCACATCAGTGTCTCTGGCCTTGGTCCTGGACCAGGGTGAAGCAGAAGACTTAGATGGTGGGGCATGGGATGAAATCCTGACTGTCTCCAACTGGCAGGATCGTCCAGAAGAGTCTGGGGTAAATGGGGATCATGTAAGATCTCGTCTGCACGTCAGGCTCACTACCAGGTACGTGACAGTCACTAGCAGTTTTGCATCAATGTGCTCCTTCCCCTATCTGCCCAGGGGGTGCAGGTGTAGTCACTAAGATTCTCTCCTATACCACTTGGGGGATGGCTACTGCTACCAGGCCTATCAGCTGGGCTGCTCCTTCCCTGCCATACAGATGGTCCTCGCTCAGGGGGCCAGTGATTCATGAGTTTTCCTCCTTTCCAGCTCCAGACTCACAGGCAAACCCCATCCCACTAGGCCTCCTGGCAGCCTTCCACCTTCAGCCTCATATCTTCCTACTCCTCTCTACACCTCTCCCTCCTCACTCCTGCTACTGAGCAGGCTCCAACACTTTTAAGGGAGTCCCAGCCCCTTGCCAAGCCTTCTGTTGGGGATTGGCTGAGGTCCCTCAAGAGTGTATCAGCCACTCCTCAGATCCACCCACTGCCTCCAAGGCCCTCCTCCGAAAGCTTCAGAGCAGGAGGAAATAACAGAGGGGCTGGCCTGTAGAGTCTTTCAGCCCTGACCAGAATTTGACATTTCACCTGAGCTCCAAACCAGCTCCTGACTAACATTTAGGTTCTAGCTCCCCCTAGCCAAACTAGGACGGTTCTACACATGAACACTACGTCTACAGCCACTCCTTTGTCTAAGTTTTTTTCTTACCTCTAAAAAAGAAATCGAAATAGGTTGACAACTTCTGATGGTCTTTTGTGAATCCATGCTGTCTGTTACTGAAAATATTGTCTTCTGGCAAAATATCTTCTATATAGTCTTTTATAAACTCTACAGAGAATCTTCCTAACTATAGAAGTTAATCTAGCTGGCCTGCAGTTACTTGGTAAAGATTTTCATCTCCTTTTAAAGTAAGGGCTTACGTCAATCCAGTGGTACTACGCCAGTTACTAAAGAGTCTCTAAAAATTATTAAAAATGGCTTGGAAATAACAGACCTCAAATCTTTGAGGGCACGTGGGTGCATGTCATCTGGTCCAGATGCTTTATTCACCTTTCTTTTGTCTAAATGTTTCTTGATCATATTAGTTTTGAGCCATTATGGTTCACCATAATATGGTATATCTTAATAGAGGTAGCAAGAATTCAGTTACAGAAAATCATAAGCACATCTTCTGCGGGTCGAGATTACAAGTGTTCAGTGACAGAAAGTCAGAAATATGTTTTGACTTGGCATAAGAAACAATAGTTCCAATGCCAAGACAGCCATCTTCTAACCTTGATAAGAGGAAGTCTAATCCAGACAAGAAAAGCCATCTAATCTTCTTGCAAAAGTCTAATGAAAGAACAGGGTGGCATTTTTATATATTTTGGGGTAATTCAAGGTAACACATACTGTATGGTTTGTTGTTCAAAATGTTATAAAAAAGACCTGCAAGCCAATATTTTTTCTCACTGTCTACATTCATGGCAGTGCACCTGCATAGATGTCAAATTGGAGGTAGCAGCTGTGTCCATGCAGTTGTTGCATACCAATAAACACCAATGGAACTGTCTGCATGGGGATGCAAGGAACACCTGTGCATCCCCATTTGGGTAAACACGGCCATCACACACAGGGTACGCATTGATATGCCCCGTGCAAAAGAGGCCTATATCTCATGTACACAAGTGATTAAATCTCATTGTTCTTAAAGGCAGAATTTTGCAGGAAACTGCCAGTCTTTGTAGTGGTGCTCACAAAAGCAGGTCAGATACATCTACAAAAAAGGCAGATAAGAGGAATCCAGCAACATGACAAATACCCCCAACTAAGCTACTACTAATTGTAAAAAAAAAAATACCTTTTACTAAATAATATTAATCTACATAACAAAGAATCAATTTGATCAAATTCAACACTATAGCTCATTCCTTTTTGATGATAACAATTGGACACATATCAAAATGATCATTTAGTGCAACTGATTTCTGAAAGACGTCATCTTTTCATAGATACCATAATAACACAGTATGGTTATATTAAGGGCAGCTTAGACATGTATTTCTAATCGCTTTTAGTAAGGGATATACTTCTTGTTATGAATTCATTTTGTAGTCAGAAGCTTAGCTAAGAATGGAAAGTGAAACACTGGCTGCAGCTGCTCGAGGTGCTGAACTAGTTAACAGCTACAGTATCTTACAGAAGTGAGTACACCACTCACATTTTTGTAAATATTTTATTACTGTATTTTTCGCTTCATAAGACGCACTTTTTCAACCCCAAAAAATTGGGGAAAATGTCTGTGCGTCATATGGAGCGAACATGGAGTGGCTGGCCCTGTATTCTTTCCGTCGCAGCTGCTGTGTTAGAATACCGTGCCGGCACCTCGGCTCTTCTGTGCAGCAGAAGTTTCTCCTCGGTCATAACTGTTCCTCGGTCGTACCTGTTACTTGGTCCAGCGGTGTACTCATCACAGCTGGTTTCACCGTCCGTCTTCTCTCCCTGGCGCCGGCATCTTTAGTGTGGGCACCCGGCTGTGACAGCTTGCGGCTTCACAGCCGGGTGCCCACTGTGCATGCACGAGAAATGCTGCGCTTTGCAAATGGCCCCATAGTCTTCTGGGACCTGTCATGTGTCCCAGAAGACTACGGGGAGGGAGGACAACTTCCGCTTCAGATCACCTAGGCGATCACAGTGGAAGTGGGAGCGGGTACCTGTCAAATTCAGGTACCCGCTCCCCCCCCTCCCCAAAGGTCTGCAGTCTCTGGTCATCTCCTGTACTATGTCCGCAGTCTCTGGTCATCTCCTGTACTATGTCCGCAGTCTCTGGTCATCTCCTGTAGTATGTTCGCAGTCTCTGGTCATCTCCTGTACTATGTCCGCAGTCTCTGGTCATCTCCTGTACTATGTCCGCAGTCTCTGGTCATCTCCTGTAGAATATCCGCAGTCTCTGGTCATCTCCTGTACTATGTCCGCACTCTCTGGTTATCTCCTGTACTGTGTCCGCAGTCTCTGGTCATCTCCTGTACTGTGTCCGCAGTCTCTGGTCATCTCCTGTACTGTGTCTGGTGTCTCTGGTCATCTCCTGTACTATGTCCGCAGTCTCTGGTCATCTCCTGTACTATGTCCGCAGTTTCTGGTCATCTCCTGTACTGTGTCCACAGTCTCCGGTCATCTCCTGTAGTATGTCAGCAGTCTCCGGTCATCTCCTGTACTATGTCCGCAGTCTCCAGTCATCTCCTGTACTATGTCCGTAGTCTCCGGTCATCTCCCGTACTATGTCCACAGTCTCTGGTCATCTCCTGTACTATGTCTGCAGTCTCTGGTCATCTCCTGTAGTACATCCACAGTCTCTGGTCATTTCCTGTACTATGTTTGCAGTCATTGGTTCAGAATATTTTTTTTCTTGTTTTCCTCCTCTAAAACCTAGGTGCATCTTATGGTCAGGTGCGTCTTATGGAGCGAAAAATACAGTATATCTTTTCATGTGACAACACTGAAGAAATGACACTTTGCTACAATGTGACGTAGTGAGTGTACAGCTTGTATAACCGTGTACATTTGCTGTCCCCTCAAAATAACTCAACACACAGCCATTAATGTCTAAACCGCTGGCAACAAAAGTGAGTACACCCCTAAGTGAAAATGTCCAAATTGGGCCCAAAGTGTCAATATTTTGTGTGGTCACCATTATTTTCACCAGAGCTTCACAGGTTGCCAATGGAGTCCTCTTCCACTCCTCCATGATGACATCACAGAGTTGGTGGATGTTAGAGACCTTGCTCTCCTCCACCTTCCATTTGAGGATGCCCCACAGATACTCAATAGGGTTTAGGTCTGGAGAAATGCTTGGCCAATCCATGACATTTACCCTCAGCTTCTTTAGCAAGCAGTGGTCATCGTGGAGGTGTGCTTGGGGTCGTTATGTTGGAATATTGACCTGCGGCCCAGTCTCTGAAGGGAGGGGATCATGCTCTGCTTCAGTATGTCATAGTACATCTTGGCATTCATGGTTCCCTCAATGAACTGTAGCTCCCCAGTGCCAGCAGCACTCATGCAGCCCAAAACCATGACACTCCCACCACCATGCTTGACTGTAGGCAAGACACACTTGTCTTTGTACTCCACACCTGGTTCCCACCACACACGCTTGACACCATCTGAACCAAATAAGTTTATCTTGGTCTCATCAGAACACAGGACATGGTTCCAGTAATCCATGTCCTTCCTCTGCTTGTCTTCAGCAAACTGTTTGCAGGCTTTCTTGTGCATCATCTTTAGAAGAGGCTTCCTTCTGGATGACAGCCATGCAGACCAATCTGATGCAGTGTGCGGTGTATGGTCTGAGCACTGACAGAATGACCCCCCCACCCCTTCAACCTCTGCAGCAATGCTGGCAGCATTCACACATCTATTTCCCAAAGACAACCTCTGGCTAAGACGCTGAGCAAGTGCACTCAACTACTTTGGTTGACCATGGCGAGGCCTGTTCTGAATGGAACCTGTCCTGTTAAACCGCTGTATGGTCTTGGCCACCGTGCTGCAGCTCAGTTTCAGGGTCTTGGCAATCTTCTTATTGCCTAGGCCATCTTTATGTAGAGCAACATTTCTTTTTTTAGATCCTCCGAGAGTTCTTTGCCATGAGGTGCCATGTTGAACTTCCAGTGACCAGTATGAGAGAGTGAGCGCGATATCAAATTTAACACACCTGCTCCCCATTCACACCTGAGACCTTGTAACACTAACGAGTCACATGAAACCGGGGAGGGAATATGGCTAATTTGGCCCAATTTGGACATTTTCACATAAGGGTGTACTCACTTTTGTTGCCAGCGGTTTAGATATTAATGGCTGTGTATTGAGTGCTGTACACTCACTCACGTGTTGTCACATGAAAAGATATAAAAAAAATATTTACAAAAATGTGAGGGGTGTACTCACTTCTGTGAGATACTGTATATCAGCAAGAGGAGGGAGCTGCTGAGCAGGAAGAGTTCAATAGATTGAGTCAGGCAGCACTGCAATGTGGAAACTCTTTTCCAGAGGAGAGATAATCTACTTTAATCAAGAGCTTTTGAACTGCATTTCCTGGAGGGCGGGAAATAACTGCATTTTCTCAGATGTACAGGACACAGCTTCCTTTTGCTATGAGGAAGAATGGAGAGTGCACATAGCTGTCCAGCTTGCACCATCACTGCTGCATAGCGGCAGCATGAGCTCAATCTGGAATGCTGAGTTCAGGTGTGCGGACAGACAAAGTCACCTGGGTGCAGAACAGAGAGTGTCCTAATTTCTGTGTGTGACAGGATGTTAAGCTGTAAACGTGCTGACACTGGTGATCTGCTGCTGTGGAGATTTACTATCTGCTGCTGGAGAGACTGAGCCCTTTAGGACCTGACCACAAAACCAACTAGTAACCTTATTGCTACCTCCAGGCTTAACTGGGACTATTCTAATGTGCATCAGCAGTACAATTGGACCCCATCACTATCCGGCTGAAGAGTTAGGACTAAAGACTGCCTCTTTACAGTTGCTATACAAAGACCTTTACTTATTGCCCATGCTAAGAGAAACATTTCAGGGGACATTGCACCATATCATAGCCATTCTCCTAGAGTGCACTCTAGACTAGTCATAGCATTATTATTCACATAGCAGTTGTTATTATTATTATTATACAGGACTTACTGTATATAGCGCCGACAGTTTGCTCAGCGCTTTACATTATGGAGGGAGACAGTACAGTAACAATACAGTTCAATACAAGAGGGATAGGAGGGCCCTGCTCCTTGGAGCTTACAATCTAGGAGGGAGGGGATAGTGGTACAAGAGGTAATTAGCTGTGGGGGATGGAGTGGTAGGAAGAGTAAAGGATTCCAGTATTAGCTGGGGTCGGGGTAGGCTTCCCTGAAGAGATGGAATTTCAGAGTGCGCCTAACAGTGAGCAGAGTAGGCGATAGCCTGATAGATTGGGGTAGGGAGTTCCAGAGGATGGGTGAAGCGCTTGAGAAATCCTGGAGACGGGCATGGGAGGAGGAGACAAGGGAGCTAGAGAATAGAACGTCTTGCGAGGAGCGGAGAGTACAGTTTGGGTGGTATTTAGAGACAAGGTCGGTGATGTAATTAGGGGCAGTGTTATGAACGGCTTTGTACGTCAGTGTTAGTGTTTTGAATTTTATCCGTTGGGCAATTGGGAGCCAGTGGAGGGATTGGCAGAGAGGGGTGGCAGATACAGAGCGGTTAGTTAGGTGAATGAGTCTGGCAGCAGCATTCATGATGGACTGGAATGGGGATAGCTTGCGATGAGGTAGGCCAGTGAGGAGGGAGTTACAGTAGTCGAGGCGTGATATAATAAGGGAGTGAATGAGTTGCTTAGTGGTTTCCGAGGTTAGGAACGGGCGTATCTTGGAGATGTTGCGGAAGTGAAGTCTACATGAGTTTGTCAGCGATTGGACCTGGGGCTGAAAGGACAGATTGGAGTCTAGGATTACACCTCGTACGCTGGTATGAGGGGTGGGACTGATGATAGTGTTGTTGATCTTGATGGAGAAGGCGGGGGGGGCACAGGCTGGGAGGAATACTAAGAGCTCAGTTTTGGAAAGGTTGAGTTTGAGGAAGTGGAGTGACATCCAGTCCGATATGTCACTTAGTAGGCTGGTGATGCGATTGGAGACTGAGGGGGTGAGGTGAGGGGTAGAGAGATAGATTTGTGTGTCGTCGGCATAGAGATGGTAGTTGAAGCCATGGAAGTTTATCAATTGGCCAAGGGAGGAGGTGTAGATGGAGAAGAGGAGAGGTCCGAGGACAGAACCTTGAGGGACCCCAACAGAGAGAGGGAGTGAAGGGGAGGTGGCAGCGTTATAGGTAGCACTGAAGGAGCGCTGTGATATATAAGAGGAGAACCAGGAAAGAGCGGAGTCTCTGAGGCCAAAAGAGTGCAGTTTTTTGAGGAGGAAGGGGTGGTCAACCGTGTCAAAAGCCGCAGAGAGGTCAAGTAGTAGGAGTATAGTATAGTAGCCATTGGTTTTGGTGGTTAGTAGGTCATTGGTGAGGTTGAGTAGGGCAGTTTCGGTGCAGTGTAGGGGGCGGAAGCCGGACTGTAAAGGGTCGAGAAAGTTGTTGTCGGTGAGATGGGAGCTCAGGCGATTGTAGACTAAGCGTTCTAGGAGTTTAGAGGTAAATGGCAGTAGGGAAATGGGTCTTAAGTTGTTCAGGTCGGTAGGGTCCAGGGAGGATTTCATAAGTATGGGAGTGATGTGCACGTGCTTTAGAGGGGAGGGGAAGGTACCAGTGGAGAGGGAAAGATTGAAGATGTGAGTGAGGGAGCATAGGATGGAAGAGGGGGACCGCAGGAGTTTTGAGGGGACAGGGTCCAGGGGGCAGGTGGTGAGGCGGGTTTCTGAGAAAATCTTAGTGACCTCTTCGGTGGTAGTGAGGTCAAGGGAGCAAAGTGTTGAGGGGGTTATTGTGTGAGGAGTGCTAAGTGGGGTGGGTGTCTGCGCAGTGGCGAAGTCCCTACGAATTGCGTCCCTACGAGTTAATGCTCATATGCACTGTTTATTGCTGTTTTGCTGATTCATGAGTTAATCTCCCTGCCCCCCCCCAGCAGAAGTGACACAATGCCATTTAAAGGTCTCAGCTGTATACATGGGAATGGATCCAATCCGCTACCATGAGAGGCTGCTGTTGGATGGGTTGAGAGGGTGTCCAGTATCCTACTCTCATTGGCAGATGCCGCGGTGTGATGTGGGCGGGATTTTCCTTCTCCTGACTAAGGGCTTCTGTCTGATTCACTTGCCAGCTAGACCTGCTCCGCTCGACCACCAACTGACATAACCAACCCCTCCCCTTTTTTATCCGCCACACCCCTGGGATCACTGAATGGCCTAGGGTGGCCTGCCCCTCCCTCGGAAAGCTCCTCCTCCTGACAAGTGACTGGCAGATGGTGTCCGCCAGATCTGCAGGCCAGGACACACACACAGGCCAGAGCCTGTAGAGAGGAGTAGCCAAGCGGCCAGACAAGGAAGCAGTTGATGCTTGAATGCATGCCTGCTGTAAGCTCTGCTTTTTTGATGTGACACTGAAGATAGCTGTAAATAGATTCTGTAGCCTTTAGCCAGGAAATTTAAACTGGCATACCAAAAAGGATTATAACACAGATGTTGGAGGACAGGCGGAAAACACGTGTTCCTACAAGTACATTCAGTAACTTTCACTCAACCAGGTGTGCCATAGGGGCTGAGGATGTTTTGGAGTCAAAGCACAGAACAAAGAATCCAAATTACCAAGCGGCTCCTTTGGGGTAGTACTACACTTTACTTGGGTGACACAGATTTCTATTAAGGAAGTTGTCAATAGGGAGCTGAATCTCACTTTTACAGCTGAATACAATTGCACTGTGCATAAGAATGCATTCTGTAGTG